CCGCCCCCGCGCCGCCGCCGCCGCCGCCCGCCCGCGCCCTCCCGCGCCTCGAGGGCATCAAGGCAAGGCTGCGACCCGGGGGCCGGGGCCGGGGCCGCTCCTGGGGCCGCTGCTGACGGCTGCTCTCCCCGCAGGTGGGCCACACGCAGCGGGTGGAGCTGGTGCCGGGCAGGGCCCACAATGTGCGCACCCTCAGCCTCAAGCCGCTGCTCTTCGGTGAGTACCGGCCCCGCCGGGGGCAGCGGCCGAGCCCGGCCCCGGGCGCGCCGGTGGCGGGGGGGTTTGCGCTGCCCGCGCTGCCCTGGCGGCGGAGGGAGGGGGGTATCTGTGTGTCTGACACCCGCCGCTGCCTTACACCCACGCGGGGGGAAGCGACTTCTCGCGTGTTTGCATCACCTCCCTGTGCTGCTGCTCCTGGGGGCTGCGTTAAAGACGCTGTGCTTTCGTTTAAGGTGTTTTGATACGGTATTCCCCGTATGAATACGGGATTACTTGTTGTGGATGGTCCGCTTTGAAGAATTTGGAAGATTAACCTTTCCAGGTTTTTCAGATTCCCTTTAAAATACCCGGAATAGACAGCTGGCGAGGACCTCGAAGAAGCTGTGCAGTATTAGGAAGGGGCAAGAGATACCCAAACTTTTGGTAATAAATTATGAAAAAGCAATTTAGTGTTGGTGCTTCAGCGCTGAGGAAATGAGTAACAGGGGAATTGATAGATTTCATGTCTTCCACCATTTTGCATCCTGTTCCAGATTTATTTTTGGCTGCTCTGATACACAACCACACAACATCCGTCTCTGAGATATTTTAAAACCTTCTTTACCTTTCTGTGATTTTTTTTGCTGTGTCTGGTAAAGTCTCATTAATTGAACTCTGTGTTCGGGAAATCCACTGAGAATATTCAAATTAATTTTTGGGGCGACAGATCATTACAAAATTTCTGCTACTGCAAAGTCAGAGAAAACCTGTTGTCTCTGAAAAGACAGCATGAAGAATCTTTCAGATGCTTTCTCAGTAATATAAACAGAGGGTTCTTTTCTGATTCCAAAGAGATTATATACACTGAAAGCCTGACCATACATTTCTTATTAAACTCCATTAATGCAGTAAGTATCTGGAAAAACTATACAAAGTTCTTTTGTCATTTCTAGGTAGGTGGTACTCATGGTTTGCCAATTTCATGGTGGATTTCTGTCTGACGTTCAGGAAACAGGTACACCAGCCTGGAACTGATACCCCACAGCATCACAAAACCAATGTCAGTACCAGAACCTCAGTCTGGGGCAATCACTCTGGTTTTCACTCAGGAGAACTTCTGTTTCCACCTTCCCTGCCCCACCACTACCACTGCAGTGAAAGAGTTGGTCCTGGCCTGCAGGGAAGGTGCTGAAGGTGATAAAAGGCAGGTTGGTCCTGGCAGCAGCAATCCCACAATTTTTAGCTTGTTGTTCCAGCACCTCCATTGGTTCTGAGGGAAGCATTGCTCCCTGAGGATGCCATCACACAGCTACAGACATTCACCATTTGAGATGCCACAAGAGCCTGTTCTCCTTTGTCCTCTGATAAGGACTCCCTTATTTAGAAGCTGCAAGTCGCAAGACAGCTCTTATCTCTTGGATGAACCTGCCAGGAGCCAACTCTGACTTTAAAAGACTTTCAGAGACTTCTCTATCTATGCAAACAGTACCAATCTAATTCAGCTGTTTTTTAAAAAACTAATTTATTTCATCTCTTTTGCTTAAATTAGTGGAAGTGTGTCTTTAACTTGGTTGCATTTGATAAATGCAGAAGTCCTTAGCAAAGACTGTTGCGTTTCTGGGGATTTAAGACAAAGTGCTGTGGCATATGGGAGCCAATTTAAGGAAGCAGTGGCTGATCTGTGATCCTTGCTTTCAGCAGAGCAGACTGTAGTGGGACCACAGCAGCAGACACCCATTAATGATTTAATGTGAGCTCTGGGCTTTGGAGCATGGGCTGGGCACCGTAGGGGAACTTGTGGTTTGTTTTTTAAATGTGAGTAAGTCACATCTGCATCAAACTGAAGCTTTCATTTCATGGAGCTATGAAAAAATGCCTGCCCTATTTTTTTTTTCCCTCTGGCTACAAGGCATCATTTCTAAAGCTTGTAAGTCAGACCATCTGTGCACTTTTTAGTTGGGAAACACTAGTAATCAAATAACCCTATTAATGGAAAATAAATCAGACAAAACCTTTTCAACCTTCAGAGCTTTTATGTGTTCAGTTGTGTTTTCCAGACGCAGTCTGTTCAGAAGATACTGACATTGCAGGGACCACCTGACAGCAGATTCTGTGGATTGGGCAGCAGTTTGTAAGACAAGGCAGTGGGGAGGAATAAGAATAGGAAATTTCGTTGGTTTTCTTCCGAGCCTCAGGAAAGAGAAGTAATCACTGCACAAATGTCAGGGCGCAGCTGAATTCCAGTGTGAGCGTGTGAGCGCTCATTCCAGCCCACATTGGTGTGAGGAGGAGCCCAGGCCGTGGATTGTTGGTGAGTTTTACAAGCACGGGGAGGCAACGTGTCTCCATCAAACCGGGCGGTGGCCACAGCCGAGACTGCAGGCAGCACCAGCGGGGCAGAAAACGTTCCTCCAAAAGGCTGGGTTTCCCCCCCCCCTTTTTTTTTTTTTTTAATTTCAGCCCCAGGTTTAAGCCAATATAGAAAACTTTCCATGGACAGTGCTTTGTTAGGCAGTAGAAGAAATCCGACTCATTAGGGATTCTCATTAGGGGATTTGCTGTTTTCTGCTCTGGGGTCTGGAGCACAGAGCTGTGGCTGTGGGTACCCTGCAGGGAGCGACAGTCTTGCTTGGATGAGAGTGAGCTGTGGAGGACTTGGTGAGGCTGAGTTTTCCCACCTTTTCTGTCTTCACTGTGTGCAGCTGGAAGGCCAGGCAGCTGTGGAATGTTTCTCCTCTGCTCCTATATCAGAACTGCAAGTAGCACCTTCTGTGCTGTGGCTGGGGCTCACCTCCCAGTCCTGAGCAAAGCTGCTGATCACACCAAAGCAGAGCTTTTAACAGCTGATGTCTCACACTGCTTTTTCTCAAGGCTCTTGTGATATCCCTGGTTACTGGAATCTTCTGATCCAAACTGAATTTCTGATGTTGGAAAATGGTTTTCCCTCTTATGCAGAAACCCTCAGCTATCTTTGCTCTGCGCCTTTCCTGCTTGAGAATGGCTGTTTCCTTTTACCTGTGCAGATGCTCATGAGTTCTCAGTGCAGGAAGCTAAAGGGACAGCCTGAGTGACTGCTCAAGAGCAGAGTTTAGTGTGCATTTTTTAAGGGTCTGGGCATTGCTGGGGTGGGTTCTTCACCCCCTTAATTTACCTCAGACTGTTCAAGAGTAAAGTATTTGCTCCATTACATAAGAAGTATCACTTAGCAGTCAGGGCAGCTTTCATGTAATCTCTGGACAAAAAGCAAGCAGGCACTGGAACAGCATCAATGTCTCAGGGTCAAATAATGAAGCTGAAATACCAGCTCTGATGATGAGAAGTAGAAGGAACTGTTACTACAGGTCTTTTTAGTTTGTGCTCACCTGCAGAGTTCAGTTTTGTTGTGATGTTGGATCCTACACAAAGCTGTCCATCACACATCCTGGATCTGCAGAGCCTTGTTAGAGGAACATGTTAAACTTGCATCCTTAAGCTCTGTCTTGGTAAAACAGGGATCTGTAGTGAGGCCCTATCTGTGCACTATGACCGCTTCGAATCACCTAGAAATACTGACTGTACATCTCCAAAGCACCACTTGCCAGGGAAAGGAGTTTTCTAGCCATAGGGAAGGGAGCAGTTTCTTATTGTTGGAATTGAGATTTTTCAGACCTTCCGTCCCGCCTGTTCAGGGCAGCGGTGATGTTTCCACCTCCGCACCGCCTGGTGTAGGTTCCTGTTCCTCTTCTGCCAGGCATAGGCCTTGTTCACCACCACCTTGTCACTCTGTACCTCGCCACTTACAACAAAGACCCCAGCATGAGTGCCCCTCATGATGTTGTGGGCACAGGTGGCATCAATGTCCAGCCACTGCTGGAGCCTGGAGGGGATTTCAGTCCTGAGGAGAGGGCCATGCTTCAGCACCTCCACCCTGGAAGGGTCCAGGTCAAAGTCCGAGATACTCGTGGTTGTGTTCTTCCTCAGGATCCGGATTTTCACTGCTGCAGGGGTTGGAAAAAGAGCTCTTAGTTCTGATTGCTTTTCATAGCTCTCACCTGCCTAAACACAAAGAGCCAGCCCAAGGCTTCTTTGCTGTCTCTGTAACGTGGGGAGGCATCTGCCCAATTTCTTGTAATTGCAGTGAACTTGTAAAAGTTCTCATCTGAGGTTAGTCCCCAGTACTGAACACTGTTCTTAGAGTCATAGAATCATTTAGGTTGAAAAGACATCTACCATCAAGTCCAACCATTAATCCAACACTGCCCAGTCCACCACTAAACCATGTCCCCGAGTGCCACATCCACATATCTTTTAAGTACCTCCAGGGATGGTAACTCAACCAGTTCTCTGGGCAGGCTGTTCCAGGGCTTGACTACCCTTCCAGTGAAGATGTTTTCCCTAATACCCAATCTGAACCTCTCCAATGCAACTTGAGGCCTTTTCCTTTTGTCCTACTGTTTGTTACTTGGGAGACTTCTTTCTCACTCCGTTTTCCTCATGAGAGTGGCAAAAGTTTATCAGCACCACTGCATGGGCAGAAACCCTGTGGGAAGCACAGGCATAAGCAAGCAGTCCCAGTCTCCTGCAAATTGAGTTTTCTCTGAACTGGGATTTCAGGAGGTGACGTGACTGACAGCAGCCCAGGATTTGTAACATTTTTTTTTAATTAAAAATATTTTTTATATGCATGCCTGAATTCAGGGCCATATATTGAAAACTTCCTCCCAGCTGACTGAGCAGAGCCAATGCTGCTGCCTGCTTGGGCTAGGAGAGGAAGAGTCACATTACTAGAACAACAGTATTGAAGTTTGAAGTAGCCAGCATGGATTTTGCTAAAGGTTTTTGTGGACATTGATGGAAATGTTGATCTCAAAGGCAAAACCAGAGTAGTGCTTACTTTTAGCAGCCACAGACCAAAACCTAGTCAGAAATTAAGCAGGTCTTCACCTTTGGTGCTGCCTGGAGCCAAGCGCTCCTGCTGCCTCACAGGTAAAGTGGGACCTGAAAATACCTGGCCTCTACTGTAAAAGCTGCAATTCCTCCTAGTCAGTATGTTGTGGCAAAGCCATTTTCTGTCCATGCCACTGCTTGGCTGCTGAAGGGAACAGCAGCAATTGAGAGGAAGAGGAGGGTACTCACCAAAATCATTGGCACAGAGGCTTTCCAGGATCTCCCTGGCAGTGCTGGCCTCCTCAAGCTCGCAGTCCTTGCAGCTGGCTCGGGGCACTGCTGCAACAGAAATTTGGTTATAACCCCCTTGTCAAGCTTCACTGGAAATCATGCAATGAAATTTTGAGATCTGCAAATGGTGGCTTGCTGCTTCCAAGTGACACTTCTTCCTGAGCTACCCAGTCCCTGCAGAGACTGCCAGGGTGGGAAATGTTAAGCTCTCCTTCCTGTGATTGGAGCGGGTCCCACTTGTTGTGCTTTGTTCAGACTTCTGTGTGTTGCTGCATTTTAAAGCAGCAGTGAAAATGCTTAATGAGGATCTCCTCGCTAGGATGAAACAGCAAAGCCAGTGCTGTAGCCAGACTCCATCCAGTGATGCTGAAATGATGTTGTTGAAATGTCTGTTCTCCCCTTAACTGCTCTCGAATCTACCCCAGTGTTCATCAGTATCTGGGTGTTTAATTTAGTCTTTCAGACAAATTTTTTTCTGGTGTAACTCATGTCTGCAGAGGCTCATGTTCCTGTGTGATGTTTCCCAATGTTTAAAGAGAAGGCTTGCAAAACATTTCTTTTTGCATGTTTTTAAACCCTGGACACAGCTGAAAGATCAGGGCTGCAGCTCCATTGCTCTGCTGGAAGCACATCTCGCTGCCGGGAGCCTGCACTCCATGAGCTCTCCTGCTGTGCCTGGGCTGGAGGCTTTACAGCCATTCCTTCCCCCTGCCCCAAACCCTGTGGGGTATGATGGCGCCCAGGGAGCTAATGAATACAGCAGAGAGAGGAACAAGCCACAGTCAATGTTATGCTAATTTTCTAGACACAGTTCCCAGAGAGAACAAAACTATGATTTATATATTTTTTAAAAAAATACAGCTTAAAACCAGAAATATTCAGAATAGAAACAAGTCATAGGATCATCCTTTTGAGCTTTGAGTGTTACATATGGGAAAGTACGTGAGTTAAAAACCTCTTACTTCTCCTGCTGGAGGCATTTTCATCCATGGAGACTGCTGCGATGCACAGCTCATGATCTGCAGGGAACTTGTTGCAGTTGAGGATTTCGGGCCAGGGGTAGCCGTAACAAGCCATGACGGGCGCGCAGCTTCTCTTGACGGCTTCGCAGAGGCTGCGGCAGGGGTAGATGAGCCTGGGGAGGGGATGGGGCTTCAGCACCTCCAAATGCCTGGCAGCAGGCTGAGGGTTGAGCCCTGGCACCACTGCTGTCCACGAGGCTGTGTTGCACACTGCAGTGCTAGCAGGCAGTTTGGGGAGCTTTGATTTTTTTGAACATTCGCGTCCAGGCAGCAAACAATGAATTTCTGAGGACAGGAGGGATGAGGTTGTTCCATACAGGCTGCTGTCAGAAGCCCTTTGCCCCACCCCAGCCCCCAGGGATCTTCTGTAGTTGGGTGAAGGCTGCTTACCTTTACAGATGCCTGATCAGGTACCCAATTTCCTTAGCAGCTCTGTACTTTGAGGGCTGCATCTCAGAACTGGGGATTTCCCTCTGCTGCTGGAACTGTTGGGCTGAGAGACATGTTTGGGGCAGGAGCTGGGGTGAGGGGCTTCTTGGGAGGTAGGAGCTGAAGATGGTGGGTGCCAGCAGCTACTTTGGTGTGCAAGGGGGTGGCCAGGCAGCAGTGCCTGGGGTGGGAGAGCAGGAAAATCTAAAGGAGGGAACATAATGTTTCTGCTTCTACCAGATGAAATGCTCATGTTTCGCTTTCACCCTGCTGAGTAGTCCAGTTGCCCTTTGCCAAGAGGGGCAGCACAGCTTCTTGGGGACTGCACTGTTAACAGCACGTGCATTTTCTGTCCAGAGGCACATGCAGCTGTGCTCTTGGGGAGAGTTAACTGTTACAGCTGAAATAACTTGTAAAAACATCTTACCTGTCCAAGCAGATTGGTGCAAAGAGGGAACAGAGGAAAATCCTTGCATCTGGGTGGCACTCCCTGGCCAGCAAGGGCAGCCAGCTGGAAGACTGCTGGATGACTTCTGTCACGGTCTCATGCTCCAGCAGGTTGGGGATCCTCATCTCGGAGTAGCCGATATCGTAGCACAAGGCCATGCGGTGTGGGATGGGCAGGCAGCTGGAGGATCTCCTCAGGTAGCTCGCCCAGGCTCCCGGAGAGCCCCAGAGCAGCAGCCACACCATGAGACACAGCAGCCATGGGCCACCTGCCCTCGAGGGGTGCCTGTGGTGGGCTGTGACCATGCTCAGAGCGGGAGGACGGGCAGTGCACCCGGACTGAGCTGCTCCTGACTGTGGGGTGTCTTTTATAGCCTAGGAGCCACCTCTCTGTCAATCCATCCTCATTAAGTGCGGCCCTTTCAGAGCCCTCGTGGGGAAGACAATGCTCCAATTTTTGTTTGCCAGCGGCCCTGATTGTTTGTATTTTAGCAGGGGTTTGGCTTAGATCAGCAGGTGTGGAAATGAGGGCAGTTGGGGAGGAATGAATGACTTGGCCCATGTGTCTTAGGGCGCTTTCAGCCAAAATTGAATCTCTGTTTGACACCAATGCTCCAACCCATCCCCTTTCTCTTGCTCCAGGATTAGTCATTATTTCATAAACCCCAGTGTTTTCTCTCTTTTGTTTTTTGGGAAAGCAATCAAGTGTTGCTTAAAGTCAATTAGGAGGCATTTGTTTAGCTGGATCTATTGTTGAATGGGTAGGGAGATAGGATGGTCTCACAGCCAGAAATTAACTGTTTAGGAGAGCTGAGGGCAGAGAGGAACTAATTTGCAGCTGTGGAGCCAGGTTGTTTGCGGATGGGATTGGCAGCACTCAGCTGGAAACCCTCTCACCTTGCAACCTGCATGACAGCACACTTTCTGGTTAACAGAATTCCTGCTTCCTTCTGAAATCCTGTAACTACCACTGAAGAGCAGAATTGTCCTTCCTCCAGCACATAATTAAGATTCCATAATCCATCATTATTGTAGCCCAGTCTAGGGAGCTGGAAATACTGGGGGTGCTGGTTGCCAGCACACACAGTTCATTTGGACCTGGTGCTGTGCCACGAGGTTCAAACTGGTCAGTGGAAGCTCCTCTGGCACAAGGATCCTGTGCTGCCTGTGGCGGAAATTGCTTCCTGGGAGGGTGTTACAGATACAGCTGGCTGCATTGTGCTCCTGGGGCTTCCCAGGAACAGCCCATTCTCTACAGTGCTAGTTCTAGTGTGTACTTAGCAAGAAGCCAACTGCTTATTGACAGCCTGAGCTGATACGGTTGATTTCAGGTCACGGAAGTAATTAATTTTTTTCCCCCATTTGAGGATTGCTGCCATAGTTGATCTATAATATGTCTTTGGCACATACCTGCAGGAGCTCCAGGAAGCTACAGTTTTGGGGAGCAGGACCGTGGATCTAGGAGCACTTAAGCTGTCCTGCATTGGTGGCTTTTCTTTCCCTTTTCAAAAATCTCAGTAGCTGGTAACAAGATCACCACAGTAGTGACAGATACCAGCCACGAGGATCCTCTCAACGTTCTGGGCCACAGCCTAACTCTGGAATGGGACCATGCCAGCACTTTCCAAGTGCATGTCCAGTATGCAGCTAGAAATCTCCTCATGGTCATCAGAGGATTTCTCTGCATTTAAATTTGCTTGGGATCCTGGAATTGCCTGATTGCTGCTGGGCTTATGCTGCAAAGGAAAGTTGGTGATACCTGGATATGGAGTGTGGCATCCTCCACGTGCAGTATGTTCCCCTTTAATATTGCATTTGAAGACCATTTTTAGTGGAGGATCAAGAGATTGAGGGGGGAAAGTTAGAATTTTTCTCCTTTCTGTTTGAGTTTTATAGTAGAGCACTGGGCCATGCTCCCCTGAATTGTATGTGCAAAAGGTATTTGGTTCTGTGTAAAGAACAAGGAAGCCTGAAACCTGGGCCGTCACCACTGCCCACTGTAAGGATTTTTGGCCTCCCTTCCTGTAAAGCAGCAATTCCCAGACTGTGATTAACATGGCACCTTTGAAATGGTAATATGCAGTGATATGCATGTTTGTTCACTCCTTTGTCCATTGTGGTATGTGTGAGAGAGTTTAAGGGCTTGACCTCTGCATCCAAACATTTAGGAACTGCTGCTGTAAAAATACCTGCCTCCAGCAGCTCAGGTGTGTGGTGTGAGAGCTCTTCTGGTAGAAGGGTGGATGTCTTTGAATGTCCCAAACTTAGGCAGTTCCTAAATTACACCCCACCTCTTTTTTTTTTTTTTCCTGAGTCTCCTGTCAGTGGTATGGGATCCCAATGTAACAGTTCCTCAGTCTCTGTTGGTGCTCACACTTTTGCTTTAGAAATTCCTGACTTCCTGACAGAGGAGGAGTGCAAGCTCATCGTCCATCTTGCAAAGCTGAAGGGGCTGCAGAAGAGCCAGATCTTACCAACAGATGACTATGAGGAAGCCATGGAAATGATTGAAATCAGCCAGATGGACATTTTCAATCTCCTGGACCATAATCAGGATGGGCAGCTGCAGCTCAAAGAGGTAGAGTGTTGGACAGACCAGGGGTGGTTTGCTGGGCACCCTCTGGCAGGTCCCCTCCTCAGATGGTCTCTTGGTTACTCATGTGCTTGGGTAGGGCAGACCCCAGTGTATACCAATCAGTATTTGCTGGATTTTATGTCTCAAGGCTTTTGCTGGCCTTCAGCATGGAAGTTTCTGGGGCAATGTGCAGTAGTTATCATGCTATTGGGAGGTGGCAGTGGTCCTTGGCAGGACACATGTGTTTTGAATATGCTGGATAAAATGTTCCTTGTGTTGTGGGTTGCCTCTTGCTGGGTTGTCCCAGGAAGTGAGTTTGTCGCCTGGGCCCTGCTTTGTGCAGCCTGTGGGAAACTCCCTGTGTGAATTCAAAAGCCCCAGCAAAGCCACCCCTATTGAGGAGCCCAGGGGGGATAATGAGCACATTGTCCACAGCTCTTCAGCACCCTTGCCCTTTATAGGAGGGTGCATCAGGGCAGGTCCTGGCAGTCCAAGGATGTCCGTCCCTAGGCTCCCATTTCAGGTGGAGCTGGGGTCTGACTCATCCTGTGGGCCACAGGTGTTGCAGAGTATGGGAAACTGCACCAGTCACAATGCAGGGCAAGGCTCCTTTCTCTGGAGCCTGCTGGGAGCTCTTCAGGATCCTACATCTCTCTGCACACATGAAAAGGAAGCATTTTGTTCCAAGCCCTTATCTTGGACAAGGAAAAGCGTTCACTTTTATCATCGATAGCTTTACTTTCCCTTCAAGAGAAAGAGCTGTGCCCCCTCCACCTCAGGGCTGGTTAACCAAGTCCCAGCAGTCATTTGCCATGACCTAAACTGGAAATAACAGCACTCACCAGCCACACTCCGTGTGTGCCTGCCAGATGATTCTCACCACAGTTGTGTTTCTGCGGAAATGTGCCGGTGCCTGGCTGGCTCTGCAGAGGAGAGCCTGCCAGGCCTCACACAGGGAATCTGCAGGGGTTTGGGAGTACAAGAAACCAGTGTCCTGTGTTGATCCATTTATGAATTTCAGGTGTTGACCCACACTCGGCTTGGGAATGGCAGGTGGATGACCCCTGAAAACATCCGTGAGATGTACACAGCAGTCAAGGCTGATCCTGATGGGAATGGTAAGACCAGGTTTTGGGGAATCCCTTTTGCCCTCAGCACGTTGGATGCCTCATGCAGCCATGTGAGGCAGAGCAAGAGCCGTGTCCCTACTCTGGCCTGTTTCTCTAGCTGAGTTCTGCAGAGGAAAGTAACACTGCTTTAGAAACCTTCTCAGGAAAGTAAACTCAGTGTAAACCTGATATCACAGCACTCCTGCCCCTGCATCACCAATCTAACAGCAGACTGGTCCCACCACCTGGGCTTGGGTCTTGCAGGAGCAGCACCAGAACACAACTCTGCACTCCCTCTCCCCTGTCACACCTGCCTTGATTTGTGCCCCGTAGTAGCAAGACCTTCGGGGTGCACTTTTGCTCCCCTGGTCTGACAGATTGCTCTGGCTCTGACTACAGAGCTCTTGTTACATGGGATGCAGGTGTTAAGACACACCTTCCACACCCCCCTTGTTTTCAGGGAGACTTCTGCAGCAGGCTGGAAGTCCCATGTCACTGGCAGGGGAGGGTGGAATTAAGTGGCGGTGAGGATGGTCTTGTCAGCGTTTTTCACTGACTGCCCTCTCTGCCACTGCAAAGTCCCTCCATGAGGCCACTGCTGCCTCTCCTGCTCTGGTCTCCCTCGGGCTCCCACACTGTCCGGATGAGCACTCTAACCTCTGCTGCTCTAATTAGAGTGGCCTCAATTAGGCAGCACTCCATTTCCTAATCAAATTAAGTGAATGCACAGGCTCTGCACGCTCTCTTCCAGTGACCTGGCATTGAGAGCTGCCCAGGCGGAGCTGCTTTGGAGTTGAAACCGTGTGAACGCATAAATATCCGGAGGGCACCCTGTGCCCTCTCCTCCAGGCTGGTGGCATTCTTGGCAGGGGTATGACTGAGTCCTCAGTGGCTTTTCCACCATTCTGGACATTAACAAATGAAAGGTCCTGTTAAAGGCCTCTTGGCAGGACCTTGCTTCCAGAGTGCTGCTTCCCTCTGTTGTTAGATTGGTACGTGACACTGAGGGACCAGGTCACAACCTGGATGTGGCCCTGCGTCATCAGACCATGGGGAGTGAGGGGAATTGGGGACAGAGAGACACTAGGAATAATAACAGTGGATCATTTGGTCATGACCACTGACACCTGAGGAACTGTCCCAGGCTGACCCTGGTGGCTGGTCCTTCCTGCTGCCGGGGGGTGCTGTGCCCAGGGAGCAGAGCTGGCACCCAACAGCACTGGGTTTGCTGCCTGAATGATCTCCACTCCCAGCCCATGGTGTGTGCTGGCTGCTGGGCAGCACAGGGCACAGCACTGCACGCTGGTGTCAGGACCTGGTCCCCAGTGCGAGGCTTCCCTTCTCCAGAAAGAAGAAACAATAAATGTGAGGAGTCTTCTGAAGCCAAATAAGGCAAAAGTCCACCCCTTTCTGAGTCCAGTTGAGTGCAAACAAGAGAAACCGCTTTTTAGCTCTCACTTTTCTTTTACTTCTACCTAGGCAAGATCCTACCCTGATGTACTCCTCACTCGTGTTTTGCAATTACACAAATGCAGGAGAATGTACTGCTTGTTTTGAGTTTGGCTTTTTTTAACTAGCCCACAAGATATTGTGGTAAATGTGGTCTGAGGTGTCCCACTCTGTCCTTAAACACGTTTATTTAAATATCTAAGTAACAAGCCCCAAGACACTGGGTGGCACAGACTTTTTTGTGTATGTTAGAACTGTAGTGGGCTTTTTCTCTCTTTTGATGGGTTGGTTTGTGTGTTTTAGGAGCTTTTTAAAGTTCAGAATGGTGCTTTGCCTGTCCCAGTTCTGACCCTGCACGGTTCACATTGGCAGGTTGCTGTGTTCTCTGCTGCAGGCGAGAGCCTTGTTGGGGCCCGTGATCCTGAGTGTAGGAGTACAGAGCCTATGGTGGGCACAGGACCCTGACTGGGGTCTGTTTGAGGAGGGCAGCTTCTGCAGCACCCTCAG